GCTCCCATGAACACTTTCAGGAAGGTAGATAAAGGGCTGCAAGTAAAGGGGAGTAGGACTGAGGGCCGCGGTGAGCCCTGCTCGGAGGCATCGGGCTTGGCCCATGAATACTTTTCTCCTAGTAACAAATGCTAATTCTCAGTTGCTGACCCAAAAGGTGTCGTCTGTTCTTGGCTTTCTCCAAAACCAGTTTTGGTAACAGACACGCTTTCTTTGAATGCTTCCAATTAATATGCAGGTGATTGAATACCTTAAGAAATTGTTGACAACCAGATTTTTGTGTAATCCATAAATTGATCTCTGCTGTCTTGGCTTGACCTATTTAATTATCAATGGGAGTGTGTGGGGGAGAATGAGGAAAGGTTTGGTCAGGATCCTTGAGAGAGAGCTCTTTGGGGTGTCCTTTGCTGTGAATTGACAAGTTTGACAGAACAAGAGTAAGTTGATTGTTTGTGCAAGCTTGCTTCAGTTTTTGCTGTAGGCTGAAGCAAACAAGTCAGTGGGAGAAATCCAGGAATCCTTTCAATTTCTAGGCTGCCAAGGCAACACTAGCATTTGTACAGCAGCCTTTGGATAGGCTGAAAGTTTGCTTGAGTTGGGAATAGTGGATGTCTTGAGAATTTGGGGCAGTGGATCTACTCGTGCTGATCTACTAGTTTTTTTTTTTTTGTCTTGAAATAGCTGTAGTCTTTGCAACAGCCCTGTAAAGCAAGCCATGTGGCAGATGAGAAGACCGAGGCTGGAGTTCCTCAAGAGCTCATGGTGCGGGGGGGATCTTGTCCTTCAAGGTTCCTTCCTGGTCTCTTCTTTATCTATTTCCAGAGTTGCTGCTCCTTGTGCAGGGCTGTCCTCCTCTCCACTCCTGTCAGAAGTGCAGGAGGAACATTTTCTGTCCTGGATAACGTGGCTTTTAACCCTTTGCCTGCTTCCAGGAGTGAGCAACACTCTTTCTAAACGCAAAGTAAGACCTACAGAATTTTCCAGCTGTTAGGAATGGTGGCACCCTTAAGAGCTGTCCCTTTGCTGCTCTGGCCGTTGATGGGACCTTGCCGGGCAGGGCTTTTGTCTGCGGCCTCATCTCCCAAGGAGCTGTTCCCAGCCTGGCATTCTTTGCCTCAAATGTCAGCTTACAGAGCTTAGGTTTGCTTGTCTAAGCAACCTGTATTCCTCAAAAGCTTAAGTAACGTACAGCAGTTTTGAAATATGCACGAAGCCCACGGTGGGTTTTTTGAGAGATGGAGAGCTCTTTAGCCCTTGCAGGCATGCAGGAAACCATTCCTGAGACATCTCCAGGGGATAATGGAAGAATCTGTGGGTTGCACTGTCCTTCTCCCTGAAGGGTGATGGTGCCTCTAGAAGTGGCGCGCACATTCGCAAATGAATGAACATAGGACTCATTTGTCCGTGATGTGAATCTTTCCCTAGATAATACCTATGTAGCCGTCACTCTTTTCTGGAACAGCCTTTTCACTCCTTTCTCTCTCTTCTCTCCCTTTTTGTCTGCACAGTTCCCATTTCACAAGGAGAGCAGGGTTCAGTGTTGGGGGCATAGTTTCAGTAGTGATGGTGTGGCCTCCTCTGCTTCACATCTGTGTGTTCCGCAGGGTGCTTCTACAGGGACCTACACACGTAGATCTGATTCCTGGACCTGAGCGCATGAAGCCCCGGGCAAATATTCCCTTGGGCATGGGAAGGGGTTCCTTTGCGTTCAGAAGCCCACTTGGATATCATTCATAGGCATCTTTAGCCAAGGTAAAAAGCAGCCTTATGTACCTAGGAGAAGCTGGGATGCTCCTTCAGTCCCTGTTGGTCTGAACACTGACTGAGAGCAGCAGTGCCGTGACTGTGAGCCCCTTTCCCCCTCATCCAGTTGGCTTCTGTGATGCACTGCCAGGCAGAGGCCTTTGACGATTCAGACTCACAGCTCTGGCAACAGATAATTTAGGGATCAAAAGAGTGGCAGAGAAGAAAAAATTAAAGGAAAAACGACATGACTTCTCATTAAGTAAGAATGATGATAGATCATTTACCTTATCTATGAAGCTGAATAAGCCTGTGGTGGGTCAAGAAGAAGCAAATTCATCCTCAACTTTCTTGCCAGGGAGTCTGTAGCTCCTGGGGGCTGGCAAAGCCATTCTTACCTCCCCATCAGCTGGTTCGATGGCAGAAAAGGGAGTGGAAATTTCTTGAAAAGCAGATATTCTTCTCCTGGCATATCTTCCTCTGGTTGAGCACATAGGAAGCACTGATGACTTGGCCCTAACATCCTGTGACTGTGTGCTCAGCCATCCGGTTGTAAAGTTCCAGCTTCGGTACGTTTACTTTAGGGGGGAGATGGGGGGGCTGAGGAGGAGTCATTCCTGACTCACCCACAATTCTGTTTCTTCCTTGCCTTCTAAAAAACTATTTTTAGTACTTTATAATTCAACGCAGCAGTAAATGGCATAGCGATGTAAACTGGTGAACCATCTTAACTCAGAAAGGAAAGCAGAGCAAATTTTTAAAGATGCCTGAACTTCTTCTGCAGCGCCCACCATGCAGACTCGATGTTGCCCTTGAACCAACCTAGAGCTGGGAACCGTTGGGTGACTTTGGGCCAGTTGCTCTTTCAGTCAAGCCTACCTCAAAGGGTTGTTGTGTGGAAAATAGGTGGAGGGAACATGATGTACCCTGCCTTCAGTTGTAAAAAAGTAAAGGCAAGATATAAATCTAATAAATAAATAACAATTCTTATACTGCATTGTTAGGAAGTTAATTTGTTCCTCGGGTTGCAACAAATTTTGCTGTATGTTACTTAAAAATGATCCTCTGATTGTCCATAGAAGCAGTGCTGAATTACCTGTAAATCAGTATGGACTTGAATATTTTGGCTGAATCATGTTCAGGTCATGTCCAGCACATCAAACACCTTCTAGAAGTGGAATGCAAGAGTTTCCCGTGTTTCTTTCACCTTTAACAGAAAAACAATGGGGAATGGTAAAAATTTTATTTCACCAGAGGTTCAATTTTGGAACAGACTTCTAGAGAAGTCTACCCAAACTTTGAACCTGTCCTGACCAGCCCGGCTCTCCTTCAAGTCCCAGGGAGTCCTCTGGGGTGGCCTGTGAGAGGCACTGACCGCGTCTCCTGGCCCTGTACCTTCCTTCCAGGTAGGCTGGGATCCTCAGTTAAAAAGTGGGGAGGCGTGCTCATCGTCCAGGATGAATGAGGAAAGCACAGAGGAAATTGGGGGCTGATTTAGGAATCCGAATGCCTGTTGCAATCTCTGCTTTGGGAGACCCGGATTTCCTGGCATCTCCCTGTGACCAAAAGGCTAATTAATGACCGCATTTTCGTTGATGCAACCAGCTCCCCAGAATGCAAAAGCACTTGGGACTTGCAGGAAGGGAAGGGTGCTGGCCAACAGGCTGCCTGCCCTCGGTGTGCTGAGTCTTCCCCCTTCAGGCTGTTGCGGAGACCTGTAATAACTCGGGAGTGGCTTCCGATGGGCTCCGTGCAGGCAGGGAGGCCTCCTCCTCTTCCTCCTCTCGCAGGCGTTTAAAGGCGGAGGAAGTGATGTCAGGAAGTTGTTAAACTGGGAAGAGTGGCGGGCAGGGCGGGTGACTCTGCTGGCAGCAATGTGCCCCTCCCGCCTCTTGAGATTCACTCGTGAGATTTGGTGGCTGAGTAGGCAAAACTAGGTTACTGAGAGAGCATGGCGGGGGGGGCAGCTCGGTGGCTTCTTGCTTACTCAACATGTAGCCTAGCAAAGGCAGTTCTGTGCCCCCCGCCCCCCCGGAGAGGCCTTGCTTGAACCTCACTGTTGGCTGAACTGAAGTCTGAAGGTCCAGCAGGCGTAGCTTCTGTGTTCTTGGCACGAGCCCAGGAGGCTAGCTGGGCAGAGGGTCCTGCCTTGGACGTAGGTTGCCATCACCCCCTCTCCCTCCTCAGATCACTTCTTCTATCACAGGCCTAGTAGAGAGAATTGCAAATTAGGGTTGCAAATTAGGGCATTTTGGTTTGGAAGAGGAGTGTGAAGTGCTGAGCATTGTGTGCAGTTAAAGCAATTTGGATGTCTCTTTCAAGGTGCCGGGGCAAGTGAGGGCCTTAGCAAGCTGGAAGGTCGATTATCTGGGATCTTAGCTGGGCTAGAGTAAGAAACACTCGCATTAACTGGTTTTGCCAGTACCTGGCCTCGGGAGCCGCACTAAGGGCTAAGCGGCCCCTTGGTTTTGAGCTGGCTTGGCTGGGGTTGCGAGTTCCGATTCCTGGCAGTTGCAGCTCAGAGGAGGTGACTCAGGACCAGTCTTGCTGGGGAATTGTTTTCCGGGGATGTTTCCTCCCTGAGGAAGAACAGAGACTGGCTGAATTGTACCAAATGGTAGAAAGGAACAGGAAGAGGGCTACCATGTCCCAGTTGGCTGAGCCTCCTGCCTGGGCTGGTGGGCAGGGGCGGTCCAGCCTGGAGGAAGGCTGACAGCCCAGGGGGGCAAAGCCGCTCCCTCCCCGCCCTCCGAAGGGCCGTTTCGAGGAGGCAGCTGGGGTGCTGCTGCTGCTGTGGGCTCAGGCTGAGCGCCCCTTCCCTCCCGGTTCCCCAGGCTGGGTGATTCAACTTTGTCATGGGCATCATCCACCTCCTTGGCAGGTTGGCCTCCCTCCATCCCAGGGAGCTCCCTTGATTATGGGATGGCTTCCCTTCGGTAATAACACACCTTTCAAGTTGTCATTAAGAGCAGGGGGTGTGCCTGAGAAGGAAGGGCTGCCTAATCGTTTCCTTTCCTAGCCCAACTTTTCTCCCCTTTGAGAAGCTGAGACTGGGAGGGGGCGTGGTGGAGCATTAGGGGCTGTTTTTTAGGGAAAGGAAAGAAAGGGTCCGAAACTCCTCATTATATGCAGCTTGGATGAGCCCATGTAAAAATG